GAAAAAAGAAAAAAAAAAAAAAGGGTAATAATACTAATACGCAATGATATACGTTTAATTAAATAACAGAGGCTAATGACTGTATTTCTCTTTTAATGATACATTTTGCCGGACACCCAATTACGCTATAAAGTGCAGCCACTGGCTATATCCACCGTAGAATCCTTAGCTCTGAACTTTGAGGCTGTAAAACAATTTTTTCTCTCTCTCTCTCTCTCTCTCTTACCGAATATATACGTTTTGTAACGAGTTGCGTGTGTGAACGAGCGGCTGTACGGTCAGTGAACTGCTGCTGTGGTTTAATTCTTGGGTAATTTCTCACTTTATATAGGTGTACCTGTTTTCCGAAGCTCACTTTCGTTCTGTCGACAATTCACCGAGACGTCCGAAGATGAAGCCACTTCTTTGCTAATTGTGAATAAGAAGCGTTAATTCAGCGAATACACCAGTGAATTCGTTTTCTGCTTTTTGACATGACCTCTGTACCCAAGCATTTCTGGGTTTACAGTGCATGATAAACTACGTCTCAGTCCCATTCTTACCCATGAAACTCTTCTTCTGGACCAAGTGTAGAATAAGCACCACAGCCCGGTGTACTATTTTAGGAACAAAAAAAAATGTCCACAAGTTACCGTCCCAGTCGTGTAAAAAAAATGGTAGGGGAGTTCAATTAATCAGAGAGAGAGAGAGAGAGAGAGAAATGTATTTTCAAACACCTCGCCGTGGCAGCATCACGCGGTACCTGCTCTGTTTCCCTCTTCTTCCAGTTCCTTTAACGGAGGAATGCATCCGCGGATGCATCATATACGCGCACCACATTCCAGGAGAGCGTACCATGTACAAGAGAGCGACTTCCTTATAGACACGCAGTGTGTAATATATACATCCAAGCCAAAGCGGACCACGGCTATGTATTGGTAAAACACACCACGTGGTGGTGTGACGCGAAAGGTGTATACTCGTGTGTATGTATACACGTGGTGGGTGCACGTATGGATAAAAAATAACGTGTGTGTGTGCACTCGTCGTCCCGGTGCAACAGACACTACATTACGGAAGGCTTGCAGCCAACGGCCCGTAAACTTATTCGCGCTCTCTCCCTCTTTCTATCGGTACTCCTCTTGGCTTGGCTCTCATGTGCGAACGTGTGAGAGAGAAAAAAAAATAGCTGCTTACACTTGCACCAGGAGGAGATATTCTCGAGTATACCCGTAGTTTTCGGCCCGATTGTCCAAGAGCGTGACCTCGTTATTTACTCGCGAATCCCTCATCTGCACACACGACTGACGGAAACGATTTTCAGCTGATCGGATTCTTTGTTTCTTCCCATTTGGGGGACTCGTAGCTTTTTGTACTACTTTTTTTTTGTTTTAAAAACGTTGATTTTACGTTGGCGAATCACACCGAGGCTGGGAGATTCTTTATGGATTAGGTATATCTTGGACGCAACGTAGTTGTCTGGGATGATTGATAACGTTTTGATAAATTCGACATATTGAATATAGAAAGTATGATGACCATCAGGTGGAAAGATATTAATCATCACCCATTGTTGGGCAAGGGGTTGTTATTTGGCACATTTGTTGACGTGGTTATTCTTTCCAAGTCAACCAGCCTTGTTGGATTTTAATTTTAAAGTTCCCTATGATGTGTATGTCGTAAGTACCAGCTGCTAGTGCTGACTTTAATGTGAAGTCACTTACATGTTAAGTAAAAAAAAAAAAAAGACTGACCAGACAAGGGATGACGTTTACTTGAGAAAAAGAAGAAAAAAATAAAAAGGATCAATAGGTGACATTGTTTTTGGTAAATTTGGAAAAAGCGTAAAGTAAGACGTGAACATGGCCTTAATTAAAAATGGGTACAATTTCATGAAGGTACTGAAGTACTTGGTTTCATTGATGGTTCAGTAAAAAAATGTCTCAAGATGTTCATGGGTTCTCAGATCATTTTTTAAGCTTCGAAGAGCTTGCACTTGAAACATGTACGGATTAAAGGTCACGTTTCGAAGTAAAACCAATCGATGCACTTGGTGCTGATAGATATACCGAAGGGAATACAAGGTATTCACAATTGTGAAGGCAAGAGTTGGTGAGAGGTTCCGACGATCTTCAAGAAGGAAGACGTTTTTTGGCAAGAGAATTGTCCTACAGTATGTTGAAATCGTGGTACCTATAAGCTTCCTGGAAGTGGCGTGGATATAGTTAAAATCTCTTATACATTAAGTTGGAGTTACGATCAGAGGTCTAGAGTATGAGGTAATTCAGATGCTTCCGATGGACCATAAACCGAAAATGCATTTACGTGTATACAGCAGTGGGTGCCAATGCTCGAATTTGAGAAATTAAAGAAAAAACGCACAAGTAACCGGTAATAGTGTACGAATGTCAACTCCTGACTTCGATAATGTCTCAGTCAATGACAAGAATACATATATGCAGTCACTGGCGTAAAGGAAAATCAATCCAACGATTACGCAACTAATGGAGCCCGATGACGACGGAGACAATCCCCCTTTTGAACACATAGTCCCGCTCTTCCGATGCTGCACTTAATTTCCAAATTTACACCCGACCATCACCAGCCGAAAGTATGGACTATATTTACACATCGCGTACATATTACGCTTCGAGGTGCATCAGTACGACACACGCACGTTTACCTACACGTAATTCAAATCCATACAGTCTGCACGTGTCTCCGATATATACAGGGGCAGTTCTGTTTTCGAAGATACGCCAGCAGCTGCAGCTGTACAAGAGCGCAATCGTTTATACAGATATCAAAGCGTCAGATAATGTACCTAGTATAGTGCGCTGTCATGTTTTATTTTCACGTTCGGATAGGAGAAGAACACGTCGCGTCGACAGAAGTAGCAGCTCTTTTTTTTTTTTTTTTTCTTTTTTAGCCGATCGGAGAACGCGAATATAAAAGACCAGGTGCCTATGTGGAGGCCCTCCATTTTTTCCAGCTCACCATTCGATCACGCATCAACCAGACTTTTTTCTTCCAAGTACATTGTTACCATATGGTTGTGTCACAATGACCCAATCACCCTTGCTCGAGTCTAAGCTACGGAGACGAAAATCTCGGCCTCCTCGGCACGTAATATCCTCCAAATCAAAGCCATCGACTTATCCAACAGCAGTTATTAAACACACTCAACGCGATAGTTGATCCTCGAGTATATAATAGGATGAGTGTAAAACGTTGCACGCGCACACATATAATATGCGATANAAAAAAAAAAAAAAAAAAAAAAAAAAAAAAAAAAAAAAAAAAAAAAAAAAAATATTGGTTTGTAACCCTTTAACAGCTCGTACGCGTTGGCACATATCCGTGAAGAAGGAGAAAAAAAAATCCCGAAATCGTCGCCCTACTTACGAAGATTCAGTTCAGCCCGCAATTTGAATGATCATATACGTGACTCTGCAGGTCGTTTAACTTCCAAGTTTCGCGGTTGTCGGGAGTGAGCCGTTTTCTCCCCCTCTCTCTCTCCAAAATTACTATTTTTCCAGGAGACGGGTATAAATCACGTATTTATCATCACATCGAAACATTGGAAAAAAAATAAAAATGAATAAACGAGGAATAAATTTTCTTCCGCACGCTCGTATACACATACGTATATGCAAATGCGTGTATATTTATCTCGTACCGCGTACTACTCGTTGGACGAGATTTTTTTTTTTTTCGTGTAACACGTGATAAGAACAGCCAGACATAGGTACGTATATCGAAGCATCGATTTAAAAACAAGTAAATAAATAAATTTTAACTGCACTCAACGATACGTTTCACTAAAAAAAAAAAAAAAAAAAAAAAATTGTGCTGCTGTTGCGCAACGCACCTGGCAAGTGTACTTATATTATATGCTAGCACATCCAAATGATGATACCATTTTCTAGCTGAGAGTCTTCGTATTATTTTGTTCCTCTGCTGCTTCTTGAACGCGCGACAAGCGGTTCATTTGTACGAAAACCGATTGTACCTCGACACTCCCGATTACTCGATTAGAGAAGGGACGCGCGAGCTACTGCGAGGCGACCTAACTGGGTCAATTGTTCGTTTTTAGACTTCAATTGCAGCTGCTGCGAGTACGAGCTGTCTCGTGTGTGTGTGTGTGTGTGTGTGTGTGTGTGTGTGTGTGTGTGTCTACATGTGTGAGGTATTTTATGGAGCGTCTGTACTCGTAAAATTTTTTGAAATTGCGTCTCGAGCAGCTCCCATTTTTCTCTGTTTTTTATGAAATTAATATGAAAACTCGAGAGAGGAACAGATGGGTACACCTGTAGTATGCATTTCTCAACCCTTCTATATATAGCAGATTCCGATACTTAAATTTGGATATTTGATCCTCGAAATCATTTATACCTTCTTTAACTAAATCGATCTGTAATCATGTACACTCGTGTATGAAAATCCATGAGTTTATGAAATAATTTTGGAATCAAATTTTAAGTTTAATTTTTAGTAATTTATTTTTTAGTACTAGAAAATATTTACTAGTAGGATTGGAAACTACATGTGCTCAACTGTATATAAAAAATCAAGCACCCATTTTTAAAAATTAACTGTAACTTTTTTTTTTATAACATCTAATAAGTGATTTGGTTCTCCTCCAAAATGTAATCATTTTATGGAATATCATACATAATTTTTTATTTTAAATGATTTCGATATCAATATTGTATTGTATTGAACATGCTCAAATAATTTGAAATAAAAAACAAAAAAAACTATGATTAAATCGTTCTTTATAAGGTATAGCCAATGAAATCATTCTTAAATTATTTAGGAATAATATTTTTCAAACACATGTACGAATAATATTTTTTAAATAAATTTTTAACATTTTCCTTTTGACCTTGAACTGCACGCTCCCGACCACCTTGAAACTTATAAAGATGTAATATTATTATTATAATTAAAAAAATGTAATTACATCTAAATTTACCGTTTGCTAATGGAAAAATCATAATTTCATTTTCTTGTTTCAGGCCAAACAACGTGCCTCCGTGAAATGGCTCCTCTCGAAGGCTTACAACAACCGCGTGCCCGACAAACTTCGGGAGCCTTATTACCGCGATCACGAGGTAATGTATTCGCACATTATTATTAATATACACATTTTCCATGCGGCTGTACTTTGAGTTATATGTGGGAAAGAAATATTTCCTTCGCGTGCTTACCGTTAATTTTAAATTAGTTTTTTTTTTTTTTTTTTTTTTTTTTTTTTTTTTTTTTTTTTTTTTTTTTTTTTTTT